GAGAGGCGGTACACACTTACGCATTCGAGTGGTAGGTTGGCACAGCAACCTCATCTTTGAGGAGATTAAAGGTTACTTTAATCCTTCATGATGTCCCAGGCTTGACAGGACACGCATCAAAAGATAGCCATGTCGAAAAGAGTGACTCAACCACAACTTTAACTTCCTTCAGTTAAACAACAAAGGCTTTTTGAAAACTCTAGAGTGACACCAAGAAAGTCTAATTTTATCACTGTGATGCTGAACTTCCACCCATATTCTGGGTGGAAAAGTGAACCATAGATGTCTCCCTTTTCCCTTTCTTTTATAATGAAGAAAGTCTATAGCAGCTATTAGAAGAGACAACATGTAGAATTTTAAAAACTAAATCCAAAATGTCCTATCGCTTTGATATAAGTATTCTATCCACTCTCTTATTTAAATAGTTTCAATGTAATTACAATAAAACTAGCATCCCTGATTCTGTTCCACTGAATACAAAAATTCTCAAAATCACTCATGAGGTCTCCTTATCCGTGTATCTCCCAAGGACTATCAGTTACAACCAATAATACTTCTCAGTAACCTGGGATGATAGAAACCAGCTGCCCAATTCGAAGTTTGCTCATTAGAAATCTTGCCATTGCATAAAACAGCCATCTTTAACAAGTAGCCTTAATTACTAGTGAACTAAGAATGACAGTTTATTGAAGGCCTCCCTAAACATCTGAGTAATTTTAAGTTTCTAATCTCCTTCAATGGTAACTTTCAAATAAAGAAATATAACCAAATGTATCTGGCTGTCACATTACCAGTATATGACATAGGAACCAAAGGAATCTCCTCTAACCTTTGGGGGGGAAGATATTTACTGAAGTTTAAACTCTTTGTAGACTGTTGTGATAAAATTAGATATGCTCCTGTTTCAATGAGGGGGCTTCTGAACACAATGAGGCCTAGCCTTTTAACTTGTATTAATAACACAAAATGAGATTATAAACCAAGAAATACTTTTGCATAAATGAAGATCTAGTACTGTCACGAAGGCCTACTATGTCTCATGGCAATTTCTTCCAGCTATCTATGTGGGCTCTAGCTTGAAATTATTAAATATGTGTCTTCCACTTATAATAAAATGTAACCAATATACATTCTGTATTATTTTTATATTCATGAGATTTTAAATTTATGCTATTTTAGAAATAATTTCTGAAAAATGTAACAGAGAGCATTATAAAATAGATCCACGTGTGAGCCACTGAGGCAATATGTTAACTGTGTCTCAGGAACCATGACAGACACTGAGGATCCTAAGAGGAAACCCGTAGGGCCTCCTCACAGAGTGGAGAGGGGAGACAAACACATCAGTGATTGCGCTAAGTTAATAAGTGGTTTCTGGAATTAGCCAGAGGAGCCCTGAAAGGTGCATCTAGCAACTAGAGGTGGACAGAAAGTCTTCTGAGAGGAAGCAGCACTTTGGTAGAGCTCTGTGGGTGAGAGTCAGCTGATGAAAAGGAGTGGTGAGGGCATGCTCAAGAGAGCCACCTGGGCACAGCCAGTATGACTAGGATGCTGCTCCCAAAAGAGCAGTTATCTCTGGAGCATGAGACAACGAGCTGTAAAGGAGGCAATGACTGTAAAGTCTGTAAAGTCAAGCAACACAGGCTTTAGATTCTGAGAAAGACCATTCTAACAGTGTACAGGAGAAGTAAGCGTGAAGGCAGTGGTGGTGCAATGAGGAACTGAGTCAGGAGGAACTGAGTCAGGAGCATATGTTAGCAAGCTGCTTGGGGGCAGCTCATACAGCCTTTGAACTCAGACCCTTTTACTAGAAGAGAGGATAGAAGTTGTGAGAGTTGACAACTTGGGAAGCAAATAGAAGGCAGATTTCAAAGAATATAGCAGCTACCCTGATGGATGTATAGTAGAGGTGACTGAAGTGACCCCAGGGGCCAGGAACACAGTGGAGGAGTGGGTGGTGGCCCACACACACAACTGGGAATGGAATAGGCTCGCGGGATAAGGGAGGCAGGTGTGGAAAAGCAAAGGGAACAGAGCTAGTGAGTCTAGTTTTTAGTATGCGATTTGAGGATGCCATGAGCTATTAAGGTAAGGATATCGACTAAGATATTTAGGTATGTGTCTTCAATGTTTAGAAGAAAAGTCTGGGCTGAAGACACAGATCAGAGATGCAGTCTCCAGAGAAGGGGAGTCCCATGAGGAACACTGGCATTCAAGCAGAAAGGGAACAGCTGTTGAGGGAGCTTCTGATTTCACAGTCAGCATGCTGTGTGACAGGAGCCCAGTTCCTTAAGGGGAATTAAATAGCTACGCTCTTCTTATTGGGGATACACATGCACACATTTTTAAACCAAAATTCTAAAGACATTTTCAACCAGTTCTCTTTCTCCTTTAGTAAGAAAGAAAGAAAACAGGCAAATAAAACAGAAAAATTCTAGTTAAAAGTAAGCAAAATAGAAAGAAAGGAAACAGAAAAAAAGGTAGGCAGAAAGAAAGGAAGGCATAAGGAAATGAAATGTCTTTCAAGTTCTCTTTCCTCCTTGGATAAAATAACGAACTTCACACAACTGATGGCCAAAGCAAAGACAAGCTTGAAGGACTCAGAAGGCTGCCAAAAACTTGTAGAAAGGTCTTAGAGGAAAGGCTGACCTTGAACTTGAAACTTCATGTGGAAATCTAGTGGAAGATACTGTGAAATAGAAAGAAACAATCTAATTGCAGAGGGTGAATAAGATCAGGGTAAGAGAAATTAAGATTTAGCGAGCAAGTGTTACATGAGGACCAAGTTTTTGGCTTTCTTTTGAAAATGTGCATTTGTTTTAATTTTCTTAAAATATAGTATTACATGGGGGAAATTTTCATAAGTAGTAATAAATATCTTTGTTATTTTTTATAACAAAAAATTTTATAAATGTTTTTGTAGATGTTCATTTTTAAAATGAAATGTGTACTATTCTTCCGATTTCCCATGGGTCTTTCCTATGTCTGGGTTGTTTTGATGGAGGGATCGCTGCCCCTTGAGGGAAGTCAGCAACTATATTTTTGATTGAGGCTGCTATAAGAAACAACATAACATATGGCATGTGCCTGGCTACAAAAAGAAAACAACTCTTTATATTTGTTCTCAGATGTGAAGAAAGCAAAAATGAATTCATATCAATATGGCTAGAGAGCAAATACAAATTTTTTCTAAACATAAGGGCAAAAGCAGTTTAAAACTATATACATGAAAACAAATTTCATATTTGATAAGAAGGAAGAAAGAAGATAGGCAAATGAAACAGAAGAACCAGTCCTGGTTAAAAAAAAAAAGGTAAGGAAAATAGAAAGAGGGGGAAAAGGTAGGTAGAAAGGAAGGAAGGTATAGAAGCAGCAGGCATGAGACTGTGACCTCTTTGCCTATAAACAGTAGGAGTTTTTAATTTCATTACATCTTCCTACCAAATTATCTACAAGTGACCCAATGACATAGGCTACAGTACAATTTCAGAGATGGCCTTTCTCTTATTAGTTCACAGATTTCTGCCAAACCAACGGTTCATGGCTTAACTCCAACATTTCTAGAGGGAATTTGGTGAACAATATACAACTACCGACATCATCTCTTTTTTTCACATACAATAACCTCAGCAAGTGTATATTTAACATAACATAAGGTAAAGGCAGGAAGGACAGAAAGCAGCAGGAATGAGTTAGGAGTTTCATTAGCTAGAAAACATAAAGCTAGAAATACAACTAAACAACACCTATGGAAAAAGATCTCGGAAGAGTCCTGAGGAAGTCCAGACTCTGGGAGAGAAGGATGCAGGGAATAGAGAGGATCTCTCACCCCAGCTTCAGACTTAGAAGCAGATGCCAAACCTGAAACACTTTGGGAACACTGCCTAATGCTGCTCCTCCACATATGCCACACAGAGACGGAGGTAAGCAAGGTGTTGGCAGTGAGCTAGGGCACCTGTGTCATTGGCTATTCTAGGCGCTTCTGCAGATTGTCATATAGGCTCCATAAATGCATGGTGAAGCATGCCCTTGCTCTACAGGCACCACAAGGAAGCCAGCCATTCAGTGCAAATAGGTAACCATGCATCACAGGTCACAAACAGAAGCACCTTCGAGGGTCAGAGAATAATCCAAGGTTGAGCCCTGACCTGGCCTTAGGCATACAGTATGATATACAGGAGATACTCAAATGATGGCAGAAATCTCCTTTCTCCATCCCCTTCTCCAACTGTAAACAGACATTTAAATCACCAGTTGGAGTAAGGCACACTATAAAATGAATATGTATTCTAACTATCTAGTCACTATCACTCTTATCTCAAATCAATTTACCAAAATGCCTAAGAAGGAAAATTCTGGGATGGATACCATATGTTTAGGGGTAGAAATAGTGGATCAGATTAAGTCTGGACAACAGGTTGCTGCCCAGAAAGGACACTTTACCTGAGTCGAGGCCCCAGAACACACAGGTCCCCAAAAATGGAAGGATCAGGAAGGGGACAATTCACTGACAGGCAGAAAGGGATACAATGAGGACAGAGGTAGGCACAGGCCATCTCTGCCAACTTCTCACCGCCAGAGAAACCAGCACTCTCCAAGTGACTTGGGAAAGAGCAGGCTAGCTATATACCTTTCTTAAAAAACAAAAAAACAAAAAAAACAAACAAAAAAAACCCACTTATCTGGACACCTTTTACCAACCTGAAGTCACTCTCAGTAATTTTCTGCTAGTGCCAGTAAATATATCCTCAAGTCAGTGGTCAGTAAAGAAGAATCATCTATCTCACATATGGTAATAATTTCTAAAAGAAGGGTATGATAACTGTTTAATAAACATGGAGAAAAACCATACATGTACCCCTAAGAGAGAAAAAGGAACTGCTGAGTTTCCTGGACTTCTCTCCTCTCCCAGCACAGTGAGGTCCCCAGACCATGCACATGCTCTGCGCTCTCCTCTCCAAGTCTCCATGTTAAGCGAGGTGGGCCAGGAGGAGACTCACTCATTGAGTAAAGGCATGGACGTCCTTCTCTTGCTCTTCTGAACCATATTGGCTTGATTCCTCAGGGAGATTCGAATCATAGCTGGGGCCAACCTGCAGGGCTCCCCATCCACTTGCATGGGGATGGATTTATAGGTTAGAAGCATGACTTCTCGACACTGGTGTAGCCTTTCTCCATGGCCCCCCACTTGCAGGGCAGCCTGCAAAAACAAGAGTCGAGGGGAGCATAGGGTTAGTTCTCATTCCTTATAAGAGTTTAAGAAACCCCAAGTCCACTGTACATAACTACAGAGCCTTTGATAAACATGGTAAAATTAGTAAAATTAGCCATCAGTATAGCAGGAAACTGGGATAAATCGTTAACATAAATAAGCTAAATATTCAAAATTTTGATTAGCTTTACCATAAATTCCCATTAGTTACCAATTTTCACTTTTATGTGTTTTAAATATAAATTTGATCATACTACTTTAATACAAAGGTTTTCTTTGTGTCACTATTCCCATTAAATAACTAGTATAGGTAAGACTAAAGAATAGAAAGGAGATAACGCACTTATTTTCTAAGTTGTGTCTACCTAGTTCTTAAATTTGCAGCCCATTGTTGGTCACTTGTCAAGCTCTGGCAAGATTTTCCTTTTTACCCAAAACCTCCTGAAGCTATTTCTAACCTGCATAAGATCAATGAAATGCAAAATAATATAAATCACTTAATTAAAAACATTCTAGAAAGTAAAGCAACTTTAGGGATCAAAATCAAACAAAGTAAGAGCTCAGTTCACCATGGTGGGGACAGAATGAGAGTCTAGCCAGTATTAAAGGTCTGTTGTAAGGACAACAAATTTGTATAACTTCCCTGACTTAGTAAAAAATAAAAATGTTTTTAGTATCATTTATCCTTGTAGGGATAAATAATAATCATACTTTTTTATTATAACAGAGAGTACACAAATTTTATTATACGGCTTAATGAATATTTTATGCACATATGTGAACCTTTATCTAGACCAAGCTTTAGAAAATGTGTAACACCCAAAAGGTTCCCAAATGCCTCTTCCCAATCTATTACACTGCCCCCGCCAACTGATGTGAACAAGAAAGCACAGGAGTATACAGTGAGAGATTCCTGAATTCTTTTTGCCCCATTACCTGACATCATTTTATTATTACTTTGTAGTCTTTTTTTTTTTTTTTTTTTTTGAGTTGGTGTCTCACTCTGTCGCCCAGACTGGAGTGCAGTGGCCGCTCCCGGCCACTGCAGCCTCGACCAAGTAGCTGGAACTACAGGCATGCACTACCACGCCCGGCTGATTTTTTGATTTTTTGATTTTATTGTAGAGATGAGGTCTCGCCAAGTTGCCCAGGCGGGTCTCAAACCCGCGGGCTCAGGAAATTCACTCACCTCGGCCTCCCAAAGTGCTAGGATTACAGGCTGAGCCACCAAGCCCAGCCCATTTTGTAGTCTTAACTAGGCCTAATGACAGATAAAAATGAAAAACTTGCCTAGTAGGAACTTATTCCTCTGAGTTTAACAGTACTGAAAATTGCTTGATTACCTCCCAACCCCTTGGTATTAGATAACATACACAGTACTCTAGACCACTTTTAAGCTAGCTTTTCTTTTTCTTTTTTTTTGAGTTGGAGTCTCACTCTGTTGCCCAGACTGGAGTGCAGTGGCCGCTCCCGGCCACCGCAGCCTCAACCCACTGGGCTCTGGCGATCTTTCCGCCTCAGCTTCCCGAGTAGCCGGAATTACAGGCGCACACTACTATGCCTGGCTGATTTTTTTATTTATTTTAGAGATGAGGTCTCGCCAAGTTGCCCAGGTGGGTCTCGAACCCACAGGCTCAGGCAATCCACTCACTTCAGCCCCCCCAAAGCATTAAGTTATCTTTTCAGCCTCAAAAATAGAACAGCAGCAAATACACACAGGAAAAGTCAACTGTCAATGCCTGCCCTTCTGGCATTTCAGAATCAATCCAAGATCACAACACAGACACACAGACACAAGAGAACTAAAATAATTAGCTTTCAAGGTAAAGACATTTCTATTATTGTTAACACAGTCACATTATTTTTGGAAAAAGAGTATAAAGAGTTTCTAAAAATATTTACTAGAGATATTTATTTTTCATCTCTCATACTGATCTAGGGTTAGCATCTTATAAGACACAGGCCATAACAACCACACACATCCCCAAGATTTCCTAGAATGAATCATTTACAACTAATAATACATGGATTTATTAGTGACAGCTGCCCAGTTATCAATTTAAGCTAGCAGGCGTTAGTCTTCTGAATACTACAGCTATTGCCTTTCTGATAGTATGTGATTTGAGAGGAAAACTAAGACAGTCCCTGAACTAATGCATCCATTGACATTCGTTGCCCCAGGACCACAACTTTTCTTTACTCTACAATCATGACTTGAGATTTTCTCTTTCCAGACTGTGTTCCTTCCTGGAAAATTTTTCCTCATCCCCCCTCAAATCTTATCCTCCTTATTACTACTCAATTCCTTAGTCTACTTGCTGGCAGATGACAAGAATGGACAACCCTGAACTGGAAGGGGAGAGGAGCAAGAGCAAATCTTCCTCCTCTCCTTTCTTCTTCAATCGCCAGCCCCAGACTCCCAGCCTCACTCCTGAAACAAAATACCCAAGGCAAAAATCAGCGAGAGACATAGAGAGCAAACAGAATAAACACCAAAGATCATCAAGAGCTCTGAAATCTGTTTGTGTTTTAGACTAACAAGGTTAACAAACCTCTTACAAGACTACATGACAAAAAATTGAAAACATAAAACTATTTTGCTTTATTTTAAAAAGGAGATAATAGAAAGATTTGAAAATCAGATAAAAACATTATGAAGACAATACATCAGAAAACTCAGAGAAGAAAGAGTTATTTTTGAAAAAAATATAACTCACAAAAGTTGGTATAATAACTATAGAAAATAAATACATTGGAATTATTTTAAAAATTGAGTTAGCAAAAAATATTCCTCAAAAAATATATTCCTCATTTTACCAGCCCCCCTCACCAAAATTGTCAAGGAGGCCAGACATTCTACAAGTTAGTCCTACCAACTTTTAGAAAAACTGTGTCACTGTATTACAAGTTGCTTTAGAAAATATGGTGCTATAGCTTTTGGCATAATAAAACCAGATAAGAGAAGTACAAGAAAGCAACATTTCAACCTACATTATATTTATACCCATAAATGCCAAAATCCTTAAAAAAAAAAAAAGCTAATTGTTCTCCATGGTCTCTTTCATAGAAACTAAACTTACTGTGGTTTATTGTGAGAATTAAGGAATTAAGAATAGCTCAACATCAGAAAACACAGCATTGCATTTCACTACATTAATAGTGAAATGAGAAAAACCACATTATCATCTCAAAAGATTTAGAAAAAAATGAAGTTCAATGCCTTTATGATTAAAAAAAAAGTTCTTAGAAAATTAAAACTAGCCGGGCTCGGTGGCTCAGCCTGTAATCCCGCGCCTTTGGGAGGCAGAGGTGAGTGGATTGCCTGAGCCCAGGGGTTCGAGATCTGCCTGGGCAACTTGGCGAGACCTCATCTCTACAATAAGTCAAAAATTAGCTGGGCGTGGTAACGTGCACCTGTAATTCCAACTACTCGGAAGGCTGAGGCGGAAGGATCGCCGGAGCCCAGCAGGTCGAGGCTGCGGAAAATTAAAACTAGAAAGGAGTTTTTTTTAACTGATAAAGGTCACCTATCAAAATACCTAGAGAAAACATTATCCACAATAAAAAAAAAATTTAGAACCATTCCTTTCCAAAGACAACGTTATCCATTAGCAACTAAAGTTTTCAGTATAGACCGGGCATGGTGGAACACGCCTAAATCCCAGCATTTTGGAAGGCCGAGGTGAGAGGATTGCCTGAGTCCACAGGTCCGAGACCAACCTGGGCAACTTGGTGAGACCTCATCTCTACAATAAATCACAAAATTAGCTGGGTGTGGTAGCACGTGCCTGTAGTTCCAGATATTTGGAAGGCTGAGGCAGAAGGATCACCTGAGCCCATCAGGTCGAGGCTGCGATGGCCATGAACAGCATGCCACTGCACTCCAGCCTGGTTGACAGAGTAAGACTCCAACTCAAAGAAAAATAATAAATAAATAAAAATAAAATTTTCAGCATAATGTTGGAGGCCTTGACCAATACAGTGAGACAAAGACATAAAATTAGCGGAAAAAAGGGTTAGAGGAAAGAGTGCAAACTTACTACTATTTTCACTGATATCTTTCCATACATAGAAATTCCAAGAAAATTCACAAGTATTAAAGCTCATAAGAAATACAGCTAACACTATTAATTTAAAAGCCAATAGAGTTCTACTACTCTAGCAATAACTAAATAAAAACATAGAATATAACATGGCATTTACAATACCAGCAAAACCAGAAACTGCATAAGTCTTTTATACAGAAAATGTTAAAGTTTTATTAAGGGACATAAGGGAAGACTTAAATAAATGAAGAACCATGCCATATTCGTGAAAAGGACAATTCAATACTCCAATAAGGCTAATTTTCTCAAGTTACTATACAAATTCAATGTAATTAAAATGACATAAGATAAATACTATTTTGAGAAATCTTGCTATGATAGCTGATTTCATGTGCAAATTTGACTAGGCCACAGAACCCAGACGTTTGGTCAAATGTGACTCCAGATATTTCTGTGAAGGTGTTTTTAAAATTAGATTAACATTTAAATCAGTGGACTTCGAGTAAAGCAGATTACTCTCCAAAATTTAGGAGGACTTCATCTAATTAACTGAAGACTCATCCAATTAACCAAAGAAAAAAGTCCTACTTCCTGGGAAAGGGGAATTTACCAGAAGCCAGCCTTCATCATTGCTTCAATGGCAACTCTTCCCTGGCTCTCCAGCCTGCTGGTATCCTGCAGACAGCTCCACATTCACATTAATTCAAATAAATCTCATATCTCTCTCCCCACTACCACAATACACACACGCTATTGGTTGTGTTTCTCCAGAGACCCTAACTAATACACTTGACAAACTGATTCTATAATTAATTTTGAAGAATTAAGGGCCACAAATAACTGAGGATAGTTTGAAAAAAAAAGAGGAGCAGTAGATAGTGGATTACCCCTATCAGATACTGTCATATAACATTTAAAGATACAGTAATTAATATAATCGTG